AGGAGGTAAATCTGAACACTCAAAAAGAGTCACCAGGTCTCGTACTCAGGGTAACGTCAATAAGTTCCTGAAGGTTATTTTTCAAAGTTGAGTCGGGATCAGGTTTTGGGTCTTTAGGCCTAATTTCATTTAAGGTTGTGACTCGGGCCCACCCCTTTGAATTCCACGTGCAAGCTTGGAGATCTGTGGGTTTGCTCAGTAGCATCCCTGCACATGCAAATCGATGGCAGTGGAGAATGATCACCACAGTGTGTCACCACAGCCAACAAACATCGCACCCAGCTTCACTCGAGCATTTCTCTTCAAGTCAGATCATTTTTCCTTTGGCCCTTGATCCTTTACAGCACCTGCAGATTTTTGTTTCTCCTCCAAAGATCATCATTTCCCTTTGAAGTTGAGGGACTGAGGTATGTCTGACCCAACCCTGTAGAGGCAAGGAACTGAATAATTAATTAAGCAGTGCCATAAAAGTGGTCCAAAGACTGTTTATGCTGCTCATTAAAGTAATTGGGAGTTTTGCTGGGCTGGAACTCCCTGCTTTGGTCATGCAATTGGGTGAATAGCACTCCAAAAATTGTTATTTTGTAATTATTTGTGTTGTGGTGCCACAAAAGGATTTGATTAACACCCTTATGTATTTGAAACTTAAAGAACAGATGCCACAAAGCAGCACCCCCACCATCCCCCTGTGTTGGTCCTCCAAAGTCTTGATTTACTCCCAGTTTTCAAAGGCAAGTGAGGTAGCAGAGGGGAAAAAGAAATAAAAAGCAGAACAGATAATAAAGTTTGCCTTTAAGGTCAAAAATTCTTGGAGTTGAAGTTAAAAGTAGGTTTTAATTAGAAATGCAGTTAGGATAAAGTTTTCAAAGCTAAGTTATACCCCTCACTGCCTCTTGTAGTAGCAAGGAGTAAAATCCTGGAGCCTCTGAAGTCATCAGATTTTTGATACTGGATGAGGACTACAGTTTTAATTTTTATTTTTGGTACTCCGAAAAATTTGGTCTTTTGGCACACTACCAAACAGAGCAGATGTCCTGACTCCAGACTGCACTGTAGCAAACAGGCAGGAACAGGCACGTGGACACTGACACTTGGAGTAACAAATCTGCTGGGTGGGGGAGATTGGAGGAGAGGACACTTAAATCCACTGGCTCAAACCTTTGACTGGCACTGGACTGTGAGAGTTAAAGTAGAGAGAAACTCTTCATTTCCATTCTTCCTTTTCCCTCAGACAAAAGGTTTTGCCTTTACCTTTAAGACTGAGCAGTCTGAATTTATCTCAAAGTGTGCTACAATATCAAGCTTCATTTCTTTAAACACATTTCAAAAACAGGCTGGGAATCAGTTGCTTGCACGTTGTTCTTTGTGGCTGTTCTTAGAATTGGGGTTGGTTCTCCTTTTAACAAGCACTAAGCAGCGTGGAGATGCAGGCAGTTGTGCATCAATTAGCAGGGTGTGCATTGCTTAGTGGGAATGCAATGTGATTCCAGTGCCTGGAAATGCAAAGGAACAAATCTGAGCATCGAGTTTTCTACCATCATTTTGCTTTGCTGCCTCCAACTACAGATCGGCTTCGTTGTGACTTACAGTGTGAGAAGTTGGTGCATTTCTGCAGATCCACGATAAGATATTTTTTTTTTTCTAGTAAGAAATGCAGTTAGACTCTGCATTGGGAATCTGTTCCTGCCAGGCCCTAGATGCATTAGTATTCCACTGGCAGCTGCCTGTAGGTAGGAATATTGTTTTTGTCCATAACCAGAGGGAACAATCAGACTAAGCCGTTCCCCAGCTATAAACCAGCCAAAGTAATTGGGTTTAATTTTAATTTTTGTAATAGCTTTAAATTAATAGGAGCAGCTGCTGCCACAGTGTGTGGGTGTCCTTTTCCAGAAGGCATAGAACAAAAAAGGGAAAGAGTAAACAATAGTGTGTCTAGGACACAAAGGTTAACTCAAGAACTGAGCAATGTCTCTTCGTTATCAAAAAGTCGGTGATATTTAGCACTGTGTCTCTTTTCTTTCTTTTCCCTTCCCTTTTTTCTTTTCTGCTTTAATTCCCTGATAAGATCTCAATCTGATTAGGCTCCTGTGTGTAAAGATGTGTTGTTGGTATCCAAACGCTAACTCTCTTTCTCTCTGTGACTCACAAATAGATTAGCAGTGACAAAGTGCTAGGAGAGATAAAAATAGATTAGCGGTGACAGGAGTACTATTATAATTATTTTTGGAAGATATGGTTTGAATTAAGAGTTTGGGCACTTTTTGCCCTGAGAGGGTGAATTTAAACCTGGGAACTGAGGATGGTTTCTGCTGTTGTGTCAGACACCAGATAGTGAAATGTCAATACCAGATGTCCTAGACATCAAGATTAGCCATAATAGCCAAATGCAGCCATAAAGTGATGTGTCAAAGTGGATAATAAAACAGATGCTTAGCTTTTATAATGAAGGGGAAAGGGAATGAAATATCAAAAGTGCCTTTAATACATTAACAAAGTTGTCTTCAACTTGCTTAAAAGTAGGAAGTTATTGAACCAAGGAGAACTATGTGTCATTTAAACATTAACTATCAGCAGATGAATTTCAATTAGCATTAGCCTTTCTAAAATCCTGAATTTCCTCCTATTGGTCTCATTTTACATGAAATTTTAATAGCATAAAGTGAGGCTTGTCCTTTATTATTTCTCCCATGCTAATCTGGAAACAAATAAAGTTCAACAACTCAGCAACATACTGTTTAAACTTGCATTATGGTTTGAGGACTGGGAGCTAGAATACATTTACCCACTGCCATATCATCTGCTTGATTTGAGATCAAATGAGGGATGTCCTATAGCACTCCAGAGTAAGGGTGAATGAGAGAAATATGTTAAGATACTGGAGAAACCTATTAGGTTTGAGTTCTGCATGCAGATGGCTGGTGGTGTGTTTTCCCTACTGATACTTCTGTATAAAAATGAAAGATTTGTTTTTCTGCGCTTTACATTTGCGGCTTAAATATTATTTTCAGATCTTAGTGATAAGCAAGTGTCTCTTTTAAGAAAAATAAAACCAATCATCAAATCATAGACTTCACTGGGTTGGAAAAGTCCTTTAATATCGTCGAGTCCAACCGTTAACCCAGCACTGCCAATTCCACCATTAAACCGTGTTCCCAAGTGCCACATCTACACGTCCTTTAAATATCTCCAGACCCTTCACCAGCTCCATTGCCTTTTTCTGGACCAGCTCCAGCACCTCAGTGTCTTTCTTGAAGTGAGGAGCCCAAAAGTGAATATGAGATTTGAGGTGTGGCCCCCCAGTGCTGAGCGCAGGGGGACGATCCCTACCCTGGTCCTGCTGGCCACGCTGTTGCTGCTCCAAGCCAGGATGTCATTGGCCTTCTTGGCCACCTGGGCACACTGCTGGCTCGTGATCAGTCGGGATGCTGAAGTAAATTATTAAAGCCCTGAACGTTCAAGAGGCAGGGCTTTAAAAGGGGCAAATAAATTCCTATTTCGAGTCTAATTAACTGCATCGCTGATTCTTTATTGTACTTTCTCGGGAAGATCTCAATTCCTTTCCCTTTCTCTTTGTAGATCCCGAGTCTCGCTGATCAGAGTCCTTAACTGCTGCTAATTGGCAAACTCGTACTTGTGTATAATGAGAGGGTTTTGTCCTCTAATTCATATTAACAATGAGAGGCCAAAACTGATGTTCTGCAGCAGACCAGCTTCTTGAAACTGTTACAAGGGAGCACATTACTCCTGCTATGTCTGTAAATGTTATTATGCTTCCCCCTCACCACGATCTGAGTTCAGCTGAGATCTACTCCAATCATGAGATGAGACCTGTTTATAATGTTGTGTAATTGAATCAGATAGAGTCTGCAGGACCATAGTTTTTTGTTGCCAAACATGACAGGTCAGTTAGTTACATCAAATTACAAGTGCATGGTGTGATTGGAGACTATCCTGCCTAAATAAAGTGAGAAATTCCAGCTAAGAAAGGAAGAAAGCATAGAAACAGAAACTGAGAATGTCTCTCATCCATAGAACAAGTTTTTTTCCCCCCTCTGAAATATTACTAATTTCTGTTGAAAAATTAGAGAATAACTGGAGTTGGGTGAGAGATGGCAGGCAGATATTTGTTATTCCTTAAACAGATACCTACTTGATAACAATGTCATAAATGTCTTATTATCATTATTTACCATCATGTATATTCATTTCTGTCTTGTCAGATAAATCAGAACTGTCGAGGAGAGCAGCAGTCCAGTTTGGAATGGGACCAAATACCCGTTTCTTCTTTGCTTTCTAATTTAGGACCCAGTTATTTTCCATACCTGAAGTTTTTTGTTTGACTTTTTTTTGTTGTTGTGGTTATTTGGTTGGTGGGATTGGTTTTTTTAACCTCAAGAGTTTCTCTTTCTTCCATTCACTGGCTAGGTGTTGATATGTATCCCGTGAATATTAAGGATAAAAAATAATTCAAGAAGATGTCCTGAATTTCAGTAATTCAGTTCTGTCAATGGTGCCTTTTCCTGACATTCCTTCGTTAGTTATGCCTCACCCTGTGCTGGTGAATCAGCCCTGTAACAAAGGATGTGGCCACACTCCAGACAGAGGTTTGTCTGGAGCCTGTGTGTGGTATGAAGTTGTACCAGCTTGATAGCAAAGTAGAGGAGACTTGGCCAGCCTGTGCATCCTTTTCACTTTGTGGGAGTGGGTTCCCCTGGTTTTCTGATGCTCTGCCCTGCTGTGGTGACTCTGCCAGCTCGGGCACCTGGGCAGAGCTGCAGTCCCAGTGCCATGCCCGGGCTCTGCCATGGCCGTTGTCTGCACTGCTCCCAAACACAGACTCTGGGACCCGCCCGCCAGCTCCTGAGCTGTTCAGGCTGCCCCACTTCATTTCCTTTAGAGGAAACTTGAACCTCACACAGCCTTTCTGTCCAACTTTCTTATGCCAACATATATATGTGTCAAGAAATACATAAACATCCATGTTTTTGGTTTTCTTTTAGGCAGAGAATACCCTCTAAAAACGTGTATTACTACCGCTGCCCCGACCACAGGAAGAACTACGTCATGTCTTTTGCTTTCTGCTTCGACCGGGAGGACGACACTTACCAGTTTGCTTACTGCTACCCCTACACCTACACCCGCCTGCAGCACTACCTGGACACCCTACAGAGGAGGAACATGGACTACTTTTGCCGGGAACTGCTGGGACTCAGCGTGGTAAGTGCCAGCCCCGCTTGCCAGCCAGCCGGGCTCCGTTATGAATGTCTCACCTTAAATGCTCACAGAACATAACTCACCGTCCCCGCTCAGACACACACACACAGATTTGTTTTACTGCTGTCAATGGCACAGGAGGAAGTGTGTTCCTGCTCGGTGAAATATAGACAAATGCTAATTTAATTTCACATAAAGCATTTCCTCTGCGATATGCAAGGCGATGCTGAATTCCCACGTAGGATCGATCCACCTCTAAAGACGCTAAAAGATGAAACTGAAACAGCTCTATTGAGGAAATGTGATTTTTGGAGTACTCTGACCATTTGTCTTTCCAGAAGAGCTTTTTCTGTTTAGAAAGAAATGGGTTTTTTCTTGATAATGTAATGCAAAACATACACAAACCGACTATTTTATTTACTCTAAAAAATGCCAGCTTAGGTGATGTGATGTTAGAAGGGGTTTAGTGGTGTCTGTGTAGGTCTTAGTGGCCAGACAAAAATTAGGTGTCATAGTTCCTCTGGGGCAGGAAGAAGGGTTAATGGTAAGGCTGAACTTCTGCTCACTTTGCTATAATCTTTCTCTGAAATGTTTGCTGTCCAGAGGATTTGGCAAGCATGACTCAGCCACTCCCATGTCAACCCAGACATCATCAGATTAAAAAAATAATAGCTCAAATCTTGTTGGATTTTTTTAGCTCTTGCTTTCTCAGACTTTATAGTGCACTTGTACCATATTCTTAATCTTTTCTCTGAGATCTGATTTGGTCTAAACTTGCAGTGTGTGTTTTGGAAACGGAAAGCTGTGATTCCTGGGAAGGCTGCTGATCCCAGCAGCAGTTTCTTCTTAAAAAGAGACCCAGCATAGATTGTGAAAATCAAAATGCAATCATATGTATGCCCTGCACTGAAATAAATAAAAGGTTTCCAGCATTAAAGCAGGCCTTTGAGATCCCTATGGTAGCATAAAACTTGGAGGAAAAAAATTAACTTACAGAAAAGAGTGAAAACTGAATTAACAAAAGAAGGCCTTTTTTAACCCTTTTTATAGTTAAAGTACAGTTCTTGTTCCAAAGGTGACTACTGCGTATCCATGAGCTGGCATTAATAATTAACCATTCCAATTAGGGGAACAAACAATTATAAGGGAAAGGGGTATTAAAAAAATAGAAAAGTAAAATCTGCAGAGGCTGGGAGGAAAGAGCACTATCATCTTAATGTGTAGAGTTTTAATTATTAATCTTAGAGGACAGAGCTGTCATTAATTCTATAATGACACTGAATTTGTTTCCTTTCACTCTGAAAAGAGTGTATAAACAGTCAAATTTGCATATTCATCAACGCCCTGATCTGACTGATTAAAACACCGAGATAGGAGGATTTGTCTTTTATCTGCATTTTGACAGACAGAGCTATACTCTTAAATCTTGTCAACATTGTGTTACCAGTAGTCGCGAAATATTATTTTTCATATTTCAGCCAACTAAACAAACAGATGCCACTCAAAATATGGCAGGAAATGTGCTGTGTGTAAGTCCTGATTTTATATCTATATGTACACAGAGAGTATGTTTTGCAGAAATGGGGATGGTAACGTTTTGCAGCTCACCATGCCTGAGCTGTATAAAAAGCTTCTGAATCAGGCTGGAATCTTTGTGAGCAACGTTACAATCTCAGAGCATTTCTGGCTTTTCTCCACACACAACTGTCCTAGAACAGCTTGGTAATTTAATGTCTTTGCTGAGCTTGAATAGACAATTTCCATAAGTTCTCGGCGAGTTAAATATTTTAACATGGAGCTTTGTTGCTATCATACATCTTTAAATGGTGAAAAACAGGATCCTTCATTCTTCACTGCACAGTGCTCCATAAAAGCAGGAGCTGGCTGTACTTTGGAGAATTGCGTGCCATATAGGATGGAGTCAGAGCTCAGAAAGTGAGCTCTGGCCCTGCCCTGGCCCCTTATGTAAGATAAGAGCAATCAGATTGGCAGAAAGAGGCCCTCAGAAGCTGTTCCTAGGCGGGGACTGTACCCTTGGCGGCACTTGGTGAGAGGGAGTTTAAAGATGCCGTGTGAGGACAAACTCTGGAGTCCTCACACTGGGCAGGGCTGGAGCAGGAGAACATGTGAGGGGAAGGCTGCAGCACATCTGCTGAGCTGCCATGGAGCTGCTGATACCCTCTGGGTCATGCCAGGGGAATCTCACAGCCCCCCGCTGCAGCCGGTGATTGTGAGGCTGGAGAACAGCTGGAAACCATTTCACATCTCCTGGGCTGGGAGGTGTTCAACTGGGTCTCTTGGAGGCAACAGAATTTCACCATAGATCTTTGGTTTTTCTTTTTCTTTGTCGTGGAACAGTAAAACACAGGAAGCCATGGTTAGATGATTACCCCTGAAGGCTTTCTGAGTGCACATTTTGCTGCACATATTGTTTTCAAGGCAGTCTAATTTCTAACCTAATTTCATATTTTCTCTAAAGAAAGTACTATGCTTCCATTAACTCCTTCAACACTTTCAGTAATTCTATGAAAATTGAAAGGGAAATATCAGTGTGGGACATGTAATTGTCATTAGAGTGCAGAGTGGCAAAGTGGTTCAGAGCCAAATGGCAAAGATTCCCATTGCCAGTTTCAGTGGATACCTTAGCTGTTTTATTTCTGACCTTTTAATGTTTATATTCTTTACTTTAGAGAGCTAGGTGTGCCAAATGGTCTTGAAAATAGTCTCTCCTCCAAGAGAGCTGGGATGGTCACCCAGGTACCATTTAAACTGCTATTTTCATTCTGCCATCGTTGGCCTGAGGTAACTTCAGACTTTCTATGGTTTGTCCCAACAGGTCAGAAGTTCAAAATCTGTGAGCATTTCTTTAAACTGTGAAATTAGCGTTTTGCATATTATTGATATATCTCTCATCTCAGCAAATATTATGCAATATTTTACAGCAAAGCATAATTAAAAATAATTTTTATGTCTCTCTGAAAATATAAGCCCAGGATCAATTTACTTTGACCGTACCTATTTTATGATACTTATCCAGTCTCACGTGCAATAGCAGTTATGTGTGTAGCATTATGACCCATATTTCAGAGTTGGCAAAATCTTTGAGTGTGTTGTCTTTTGAAGCTGGTTGTCCAAATTACCTGTGTGTGCTTGAAACGTGTGGAACAACTGATGATACCTCTGCTGGTCTTCCAGTATCACACATACCACATGAAAGGAGTTGTGGATCAGCCCGGTTCAACCCCTGCAGCCCACTTCACAAATCATCAATGGCTGGGCAATATTTTCATGTCCCACCCAAAAGACAGCCAAGATTAATGTGAGGCAGATATTTCCTTTCCCCCCATTAGGCAATGGTGCTTCCAAATTACACTTGAGGAGAATTGCAACTGCACACGCAAACCACGAGCCTCAAAGGGACTTGCACAGTACACAGAGACTGAAATATGGAATTCTGTTAAATTAAATATTAAACATACATATTTTAAAACAAGAAGGCAATATGTCTAATGTAGAGCTCTGAAAGGGAGCCAATCTCTGGAGTCAGATATGGAATACTGAGTGCACAGATTGGAACACCCGGTGCTTCCTTCTGACTCCACACCACTTCGGTGTCTGCTTCTAATTCACTTCAGCTACTCCTGATTTATGGGGGTATCAGAGAGAGCAGAGTGGGGCCCTAAGACTGTGAAAGTGCACACCAGCTGTCACACTGCTGCTTCATTGATCCTGCAGCCCCTATTTACCGTCCAAACGACTCAGTACCCCGGGAGAAACAGTCGATCGGTTCTGCTGTTTGCTGCTGGTCCGTTTTTAACTGCTCACTTATGACCCCTTTAAAGCGTGAAGCAAAGAAAATAGGCAGCTTTTCTAAGGTGAAATTTCCCATTTCTGCCTTCAGCTTTGGGTTATGTAATAACAGCTCTGTAAAAGAAAAGTATACTCTTGGTCTTTGAGGGGGGAAAAAAAAATAGAAGTTAGAGGCTCCTGTGTGATGTAACACACCTTTGAAATCTTTTTGGTATCAGATACTTGTTTCTCAGTAGTGTAAAAGTGCAGCTACATATGTGTTCACAGTCTCTTTAGTCAGTGCTGTATCTATTTACTCCTCTAGTACTGCTGTTCCCACAACATTCCTAATATGGATCTCATCCCAAAACTGTATGTGAGATTTAAATGTTCCTACAGCTATTTTCTTAGCTGGGTTGATATCAGCAGAAGTGGAGTTGGATCTAAAAATAACACCACCAGCAGCTCTTTCCAAAATAAAATATGATTTATAGTATGTAATAGCACAGTGTGCTACCAGGGAAATTATATAAATAACATTAAAAAATAACAGGGGACTATTCTATCCCATCAGTTTTAAGGGAAATTTCTTTGTCACAATTTAAAGGGAGTTCTGTGAGATAAACTGGCTTGTGGGAATCATAGACAAGGAAAGATAGGCGAAATTATGTTACTGCTGAAAGTTGCCATCTGTCTGTAGGATATATACAACTGTTCATGGTAAAAACAAGAAATACTTTGGTGTAAGTTGGCAGCAATATATAGTTTTTTGAAAAAACAAACTCAATAAAATCATCATTTACAGTTAATATCGTGCAAGGTTGCTAAATGTATAAGCTGGTTATTTCTGAAATTCCAGAAAGAGCGCTGTTTGATATAGTAAAATAATTTCTAGAAGGATTTGCATAAATTACTCTTTATCTAACTATGAGTAAAAAATCTTAAATTGGGAAGAAGGATTCAAGTCTTAAGTCCATTTTACAGCTCACATTTTATAACTACCATTCTCCATTTAAAAATCTGTTAAAAAAATGCTTGGAACTTCACAAAAAAAAAAAAAAAGGCAGCTTTGAGCATAAAAAAATCCATTGAGGTAAGAAATCATCTGAAGAAAAAAAGTGTCATGATCCACTTTATTAAGAAGAAAACCTTCTGAAAGGAACTGGCAGTAAATGAATTATAGGTGGTAAAGTTAGTCTATACAAACTGTTTTC